ATGTAGGGAAAAAAACGTTCCATCTGTTCCAGCCTGTGTAATATTTTGCATATGTGAATGAGTGCACATATTACAAGCTTTATGATATGCTAACAACTTTTTTGATTCTTGATTAACATAGAGTTGTTGTCATTTTTTTAGGTTCTGATTATGAACTGTAGTTCCATTTGGTTGTGATAATAGTCACAGTAGGTTGCTATTCCAGATTCCTATCATATTGCTGAAGCAAAATTGGTCAGGGACAGCATGAGGATTAAAATGAGCAACTGCACCACTGTTTCCTTCTGTGAGCCAAGAACACTGAAAGAACAGAAACATTCATTTTGTTATAAGTGAGACAGAAACTCATAATGTTGTGAGATGTTTTCAGATGGCTAGTTTGTTTGTGATCCATGTTAGGAGTGGTTGAGAGAAGACAAAGGTATCAGTCTACTGGGTTTTGCTTTGGGAAAAGTCACTTCAGTTCACTACGAAAAAATGTGATCAGAGTAGCTTGTGATTGTATTATATTCAACACTGGGGGGAGTGGATTATATTTAATCCCTTTACCTGGGGGATAATTTAGGAACTGTTGGTATTCTCAAGAATTTAACATAAACTAATAGCTTGCCTCACAGCAGAATTCTAAGATGATGGTGAGGAAAATAGGGCTTTTATCATGTTAAGAATGATCACATAAGAGTATAGGCCCAGAGCTTACCATAACATGCACATCTGTGTGGATAGGGTTGGGCTTTGTTTTGCTGTTATTGCACCTTGCGTTTTTTGTTTTAGACAATGATGATTCTCTTATGTACAGGGCTTGGTTTATTCTTACTGCACTGATGTCTTTGGGAGCAGTATAGTTGTGTATTTCTGTACGTATTTTTTGCATCAACCTGGGCATTTTCACTCACAGTAACATGCAGAAAGCAAAAGTTTGAAGTGTACTTCATATTCTTTAGGTGTTAAGGCAATGCACACTTTCTCCACACTTCCAGCATTCAGTGCAAATGTATTCATACAGCCATTTTGTATTGATTCATAGTGTATGATTATTAAACAGAAAACATTAATATTTCTGATCTTCCTGGCTCTCATTACATCTTAATGTATTTTTATTGCAGCCATTGCAGGGATGGAGTAATGAATTGTGATAACAACGTAATAGGTGAGTGAAGAGACAGGGGGAAAAGATACTTATATTTCAATTAATAAGTATTCTCTAATCTCTGTGGAACCCCTTACCTGTAGCAAAACACTGTGCAATATGTACAAATGAATAACTTACAGGAGGGGATCTGTAATTTAGGAACTATGTGTTTGTGAGAATGAAAGCAAGGCTAGGGTGAAGCAGCAGCATAACTGTCCAAACTGCTAAATCTGAGCAACTTTTTTTTTTACGGTGCTTTGGAAGACTAATTATTTTAAGATTGCTAATGTAAACAAGCTTATCTGCATGACAAACAGCAGAACTTCATTTTTCAGCAGGATAAACAAAGCTTAGCTTTGTCCCACAGAACATGGTTGTAGGGACTGAACACTGGCAGTAATTTTTCACAGCTATTTTTTTTTTCTTTCCCTCCCCAAACCCTGAGTAACTGAAATATGAAGAAATATTTCTTTTGTCATACTTCAGAAAAAGAGTATAACAAATGCCCTCTCTATAACTATATCTTGCTTGTCATTAAGTATTATGGTCTGTACTCTGTTATGATGCTCCTTTTACTTCGGTGAAAAAGGCTTTTATCTGAGGTCTCAGTTCTACAACGGCCAATTTTTGACCTTTAGCAGAAATCTGTTCCTCATGTTCCTCATGTAGGTGGTGGCTGTACTGATTTGACAGTTATTTTTTTCCCTAATAAATAAATAAACAAACAAACCCCAAACACCCAATCAGTACTACTTTAAAATGCTGTCACCATTTTGGGCATTTCTGTTGCACATGCACAGCATGCTGAGTGCAGCCCAGGAGCAATTGTTCAACAGAGCTGTTTTGTTTCTTGTCAATCATCAGCATGGAGAGTCAGATCCAGCTCTCAGACTTCTTACTGAATCTTTCTGGTTTGTTGATTTCTGTTTCCCTGTTGGTAGTACTTTGCATTTCCGTTTTGGAGGGCTGATTCCTTCCTCTCTATGTTTAGAAAGTCATATCCCTTGCTAAATCAGTATATTAATTTCAGTCTTTTGTATGAGATTTTTAGGGGTTCAGTGATGCTAACTAAGCTCAGGAGAGTCAAACATTTGGATGTTACACTTGTGCTATGCGTTCTCAATCTAAATCTATTGTACACCTTTATGGAATATGGAATTTCAGATGTGAAAAGTAATGTGTTTGTCATTTTTTTTTCCCCAGCACACAGCTGCCCAGACGGACAGATTTATATTAACTGCAGTAATCCCCAAGTTGATCCTGCACTCAGCAGAGAGCGAACTTGTGAGAATCAGCTGCTAAACCTCACTTTCTCAGCACACCTTCCTTGTGTTTCTGGTTGTGTCTGCCCACCTGGGTGAGTACAGACAGATTTTCATCTTTTGGTGCACAGAGATAGATAACAACCTTCAGGAGTGACTGAGTAATTGTTTTTGCTGAGGACATATCACACTTACACCTGGAGATCTGAGGTATCAAGGAGGTGAGCATCCAATTTGTGAAGGCTTATTCCACAATCATGTAGGCCTTTGAAGGTGTAAGAAAAGGTGAATCAAGAGGCAGGTGGAGCTAAAGGTCTAACCTCACAGCAATTAGAACAAAACAACAGGAATACAGAAAGGGCATTGAAAATATTTGATCCAGTCCCTGTAGTACAGTGGAATCATGTAACCTAGATAATTTTTTCAGAGATCTTCACCTTCTATTTGAACATTTCTCTGAGGGAGTCTTGCTTCTTCATTCCTAGGCGTTATTTTCAGTATTCTCTCCCTCAGAAGGGTATTTTAAGTCTTATGCATTTATGCTGAAAATGTGCAGGTGAGCCATTGTCATGTTTTGGAATCAAGCACTGTATTGCTGAGAGGTTTTTAGTGTAGGAATAGCAACTTATGTGATTTATTTTCGTAAGCACATAGCTTGAAGTTTTTGAGATCTGCACTCTAAAATTGCTATTTAGGCCTTGAGAGCCTCCTCAAAATAAAAAGCAAAAGTCAAATCCTTAGACAAACCATGTTGAAATAGCTCGGTTAACGTCTGTGGGCTCATGCCCATTTACATCTAGATATTTTTATGTGCCATTGCAAAAGCTTGCTACTTAGACTTCTGTTTTTTTTTCACCTTAATGTTCAGAAGCATGTAATGTCAAACTGTTCATCTGAAATGGAACCTGTAATTAGTCCAACTTGCAATATGATATGGTTAAAAAGTGCAGTGCTAAGAGTTTGAAATTAGCTGGAGGCAGGCATTTTCAGAATTACAAAAACTCATCTTGTGGGACCTGGCTGATACCCTTCAAAGCCACTGGCTGCCTTCAGGAGCACTGCATGGCAAGCAGCTCAGCAGAAAAAAAAAAAAAAATTTGTTCTGTTTGCTGTGCAGGACCACTGAGATCGTGAACTTTTCCTACTGTTTCCTAGTGTAGGTTAGTTCTGGAATTTAAACAATTAAATATTTTTTTTTTAACATTGGAAGGCACTATGTCCAGTATTGGTGATCCCAAAGCTCTGATAATACATTTGAATAGTTACAAGAGGCAGGATTTTATAACTTCCTAGAGACAAAAATACCAGATTAAGAAGGTCCTTACTTACCATAACTTGGACAGACTTAATTCTGCCCTCCTGTGGCTGTACATGGCCTGTTCATGTGTGGACACAAACTTTTTTTTTGTTGGAGAGGCTTGTTTGGTTTCATAGAATCACTATGGTTGGAAAGGGCCTCTAGGAGAATCAAGTCCCACCTTCATCCCAACATTTCCCTAATCACTAGACCATAGCCTCAAGTGCTGCAGCTATTCGATTTTGAACAACTCCAGGGATGATGACTCCACCACCTCCTTGGGCAGCCCATTCCAGAGTCTAACCACTCTTAGTGAAGAAATTCTTCCTAATAGCCAATCAAAACCTCCCCTGGTGCAACTTGGGGCCATTTCCTCTTGTCCTATCATTAGTAATTTGGGAGAAAAAACCAACACCAGCCTCACTACAATCTCCTTTATGTATCTGTGAAGAACAATAAGGTCACCTCTCAGTCTCCTCTTCTCTAAACAACCCCAGCTAGTTTTCTGGTGCAGATTTGTGAACCGGTGTTTGTTGGCTTACAGGAGACACACTGCTTTTAATGACACCTTTACCAGGACTATTTATGTATTTGTGTGTTTGTGAATGGACAAAGCTGGGGACAGTGATGAGATAGTGATGTCAGCAGGGTGAAGTGTGATAGCTGCTGTTGTACCTTTGCAGTTCATTGTAGTTTGGACAGTAAGTATAGGTGTCAAGAAAAACATCTGGTACTTCAAAGGGGAACTGTACAAGGCTTCTCTGTGAAGTGTTTGTGGTGAATTCTTAGATCATTGAAATCTATCCATATGCTTGGCTTTACAAGAGAGAAAGCTGTTATCACTTGTTTTAGACAGGGTAATAACGTGAGGGAAAACTGCATTTTCTGTTACCTTGTCAGCATGATGCTCTTTGTGTCTGAATGTGCCTTGTTCAGTTATGAGCAGCTTTAAACCAGTGGGAATTTCAGTCTCACAGTTGATTGTCTTCAAGTGACACAAAACTTGAAATAAGTGTGGATTACAAAGAGCACTTCACATTACCCGAGGGGAAAACTAGTTTTTCAGTTTAATGGAGGAGGGAGTTTTATCATGTCTGCATATTCCCATGAGGAAGAGCTACAGAGTGGTAAATTTTCATCTGATAAAGAACACTGAAGAAGAGCCAAAGTCATACTGGTACACAAATTACCAGTTCATTAATATGAGTAAATAAAATGTTCCATGATAAATACAGTGATGAAATCTTTCCTTTTGGATACTGGGGAAACAAGGTGTCATCACCCTGTTTGTCACGGGTGTGCCTCACACCTACAGTCTCTTGTCCATGGTGCAGTGTCTTGCTCAAATTACAGTGCTAAACATTATGAACCCCAAATCTGTTTTCTTCAGAAAACTGTTAGGAACACAGGAAAACTTGCATAAAATTTGTGTTACTAGAGGGGGATACTGGAATTCTAAACAAACTTATTCTGAAAAAGAAAAAATATTGTCAGCCTAACTACCATTTTAAGAGACTGTTTCACAGTACAAATACTTTTCAAAACTTAGCATTTAGAAACAAGCATAAGTGTAGATTTTATGGTGCCTGCAAGAAATCCATTTGCTATGTAACTATAGCATGTTGGTTGCTCCAACTTCTTACAGTGTATTGAACAGGATCCTGTGTGGGAACAGATACAGAACACAGAGCAAGGTGGAGCTCCAGCAGTTACAGAGGCTGCTGTAGCTGATAAAGTGTTTTAAAGATTCTATTTGGCAGGTTAGTCACAGAAGTTGTTCTGTTATTGCACCTTCAGGTCCTGTACTGGTCTGTTTGCCTATGCAATAGCATACAATATTTTTGAAAAATGAAACAGGCTTTCTGAAAAATAAAACTGTCTTGGGCTTGGTGGAAAGATGTTTTTTTAAATAAAATCATTTAATGTTTCTGGAATATTTGTGGAGATTTATTTGTAGAATCTGTTTGAGATGTCTCTATATCTAGCTCTACTAATTCAGTTTTTCTGAATATTGTTAAAAGCCACAAATGTTCATTTTAAAATTTAGAATAGTTGTGTTATTTAGTCTTCCTGGGTTAGAAGTCCTCTATTCTTTCTCCATTAATGAAATCTTTTTCATAATTTTTCTGATTTTTCAGTTTTCATCTGTTACCATAGGAATTGTGATTCTAAGCTCAAATTTGTAATGTTAGTCTTGAAGTATAAATAGTTATTCATATAGTTATCTGTGTTATCATGAAAAATCTCCTTTGAAGGCTGTGAGACTATTTCTGGCAATTAAGTTAAGTATATTTGTGTTTTCTTGTATTAAGATGCCAGTTGTACAGAAATATGTCCTTAGTATGTCTTTAGCTATTGATTAAATTATTCACAGAACAGGAGGTGTAGCTACAGCTACAGGAAAACTATGCAGCAAACAAAACCTCTATAAATCAGATGAAGAAAAGAAGAGAGCAAGAAGAAATACTAATTTAAAAATTCTGAGAATAAATAAGCCACTGAATTTTGATAGTAAGAGCACATACCCCTAGAGCAAAGGGGCATGATGGCTGCTACTTCTCTTGGAAATCTCTTGGTTTAGTTAAATATAAGTTAATTGGCTGAGTTACAAGAAATGTGGTGAAATTTAGAGAAGGTCTGGAAATTCTTAATTTCCCTGACATTAAATTTTTTATGTTATTGAATAAATCTTCACAGGGTTAGTGGCTGAAGGGCTGGTGTCAAAAGTGCTAGCACTTACTAGAAACAAAATATTCATGTACTTGTGAAAGGAAATTACCAAATTACTCATACACAGTTATTAATAAAGTTATGCCTTTTCTATTTCAGAATATTTTGAATATTTTTTTCTTTTTCAATAACAATGCTATATTATAAAAGTTTAGGAAAATATTTCTGAATCTAGATACGAGCTGTACTACTTCTGAATGTTTGTTTTTTGTTGTTTCATTGGTAGCCTTGTTAAACATGGGGTTGTGTGCTTGGATGCAGATGAATGTCCATGTTTATGGAAAGGAAAGGAATACTTTCCAGGTGACAAAGTAATTTCTTCCTGTCATACATGGTAAGCAGACATCTATTTAAGTGATTATTTTACATCAGTTGTTTATCTATGAATTGATTCTTCCTCATGTTTCTTAATCATAAATTTCACACCAGATTGTGGTAAATAATTTACCCTAATTTTTATTTACATTTGTTGCGACAACTTTTTTTTTACGGTTTGTTGTTTAAAGGAGCTTTTACATAACAAAAGTAACAGTTATTTTGATTTTTTTTTTGTTTGTTGTTTTGTTGTTAGTAGTGGTGGTTTTTATTGTGGGTTTTGTTTTTAAAAAAGCTTGATTTAGAAAAATATTTTTTATTATTAAGGTAGTCTAAATTAATATTTCTTGGCCAATGTTCCTCAAGTGCAGGTAAAATCCTTTAAATATTACACCTGAGTGATAGTTCTTAAAGCTTTTTTGCTTACTCATTTTCACATTTAGTGGTGAATCTGAGGAGTCTGAGTACCCAAACCATAACCCCGTGGCCAGAAGTACACATACACCCACTGCAATGAAAAGTTAAGGAGAGTACTGGGCAACACTATGTACTGAGCATAGTAACAGATAAATTGGTTGCTTATTTTGTGTGTGTGGTTAAGATAAATGATAAATCAACTGACTTTTAAAGAAGATGTTCCAGTAGACAAGGTGATAGCATCACTCAAACACCTGCAGAAACCTATTCCTTTTACTATCCAGCACTAGAAATGCAGCACATACCCTATAGCTACATTACTTTGTGAAGTTTCATTGAGCACTCTCAGTAGAACATGATACCTTACCATTTCACTAAGCTTAAGAGTAAGATATGAAAGTATACCACATCTGCATGGTCCTGAAATAAACTTGCTTCATGATGGTCCCTGATTCTTTCTCTGACCACCATTCAATGTTGCAAGCTGGCACTAAGCAGCACTGTTTGTCTTCCTAGAGCCTCAAAAAATTCAGCTGTACTGTACTGTCAAGGTGCTATGGTAGTGGTGTAGCCTCCAGCTTCTCAGCAGGGCAGTTCCTTCCTTTTGTCCCCTTCTTTTAGCTTACCAGGAACATCTAAGGATGTCACCTAGTAAACAGTGTGCAGGCTTCTGGCCTGCATAGCTCAGCTATAGCACAGTGAAGGCTTGTCCAGTCAGCACTAATCACTGCCTTGTCTGGATGTCGTTGCCCCCTCCAGCCTTGTGCTGACTGCCTACCTCTGCCTCTCGTCAGGTCCTCACTATCTGCTCTAGAAGATATTTGTAGCCCCTGGGTTGACTGCTGAAGCGACTTACAAGCCACCTCCACTGGGCAGGCAGGTAAAGCGACCCGGGTTATTCCCCCCTTGCTTCCAAAGGCCTCTCCAGCTGGACCTGGTGTGGATTGCTTGCATCAGAAATATTTTATCCCATTTAATCTGGATGAGACTTCACCAAAGGCAGCAGCAGTGCAGGCAGAAAGACACTGGATATTTGGCCTTCTCACTTTTTCTTTCTGAGGTCAGGCCCATTAATTCAAGTAATCCTTAAGGTTGTCAGGGCTCTTCTAGTCCTCCAGGTCCAGAAGCAAAGACAGATTAAGTGATAATGGCTTTTTGGCAATCAGTTCCCCTGAGAAGGTGGGGAGCCTGCAGCAAGCTCTGCTTGTTACAGAGTGTAGGAAGTCTATGAGACTGCAGTGTGTGTATGTGGGGGGGTATTTGAGATGACTAGGGAAATGGGCATTTTTGCTCATGCAAAGCTTGAGAATGCTCCTCTGAACAAACCCCCTTAGGCACTCCTAGCTGTAATGACTTCAGTGTTATTTAGTGCACAGAAATAACATGTTGTTACTAAACATCATCTTATTCATATCTAATGCAGTATTAGCAAGGTAACTGTTAATCTGATTTGTCTGTTGACCAACAAAATCGAGGAAAAAAAAAAAGATAAATAAATAAAAAAAGGCTATTTTTTAAATTGGCAAAGCTACCAGTGGGGTGCCAGGACCTTGCAACCCAAGGGCTGGGGGCTGGCTGAGCTGTGGCTCTAGGTTTCCCAAGTTTGGTTTTCAGTGCAGCTGCCTGTAATCGTTATCATGTGCTGGCAAGGTGATACAGAAAAGGTTACTACACTAACTGTGAAGGTATCAGAACAGCATTTTGGTGCTGTGTTGTGCAAGGTGAGATGTGTGGTGCAGTTAGCTGTGCTGGTTTGTTGTCATATGCTGAGGTCATTGAGCCAATGCTGGTTAATCTCTGTGGGCTGCTGGTTTGGGCCATCTGTGTTCTTAAGCACTTACTTGTTGGAAATACCTTTTTTTTAAGAAGCTAGTCGAAGTTTGGAAGACACTGGTAGTCTAACTAAATGTTAGCTTACTTTCTGTTTAACCCTTCCTTCTGACTGTAAGTGTAGTACTCCTGAAAAGGAAAGCTTGCAGAGGAGTTCCCCACTTTTCACAAGTTAAGAAATGTTTCTGCACTAGCCCCTAACAGATCAGCCTTTGCATCTCTCTCCATTGGCTTGATTAGGTTCCTGCCTTAGGTACCACTTTGAGATGACTAGAGTTAGCTGGGCCAGTCACACTGTCATCTACTTGTGCTTTGGTACAGCAAACGCTCTTCACTTAACTTACTTGAGCCAGGTACTTAGTCTATTTATACATGTAGTTACACAAAACACAAGCAGTGGGCCAAATCAGTGATGAGATAGGCAGAGTCTTGGAAAATCTGGAAAATGGCTCCAGGTTGGTGGAAGATACGTAGTAAGGGAACAGAAGGAAATAGGATGCTACTAGCAATTAGAGCTGCCAAGATTTTTCTGGATACCTGCTGCTTTTTTGAAAACAATGGTGTTCTGACCCTGTCATATATGATAGCAGTATGAACAGAAAAGAAGTGATACAGACAAAAAACTTCATCCTGCTTGGTGCTTCAGTATATGAGATGCCAAATGTTAGGGATTTATCGAGTCAGATCAATACATTAGTCATAAAACTTGAAACGTTCATTTAATGTGGAAATTCAAAATTCAGTATTTTTGAAAATTGAGTTAGATGTGTGCTGAAATTATATCACATGCTGTGTTTGGTTTAACCTGTATCTGTAAAACACACCTGTACTAAAGCTGTACTAGGGCTTCAGCTCTGCTGTCTTACTGGGAGAAGTTTAAGTGTTCAGGTGATTTTGAAACATGAAAACTAACATATTAAAAATGACTTGTGGGTATAGGAAACTAAATTCTCTCTGTTATTTAGAAATCTTAGGTCATTTCTGAAAACGTAACTTATATTGCAACAGGGTAATGCAGAAAGAGACATAGTACCCAGTGCTGCAGAGCCTGCCTGTAAGGGAGCAAAGGTAATTCAGGAAGGTCTGAGCAGTCACTGAGTCTATGTGTGACAAAAGCATTTTGATCTTAAGGTGGCCATAGACAGAACTATTCCGGAAGCCCAACAACAACAGAAAGCCCAACAACCCAAACCACGGTTGTTTTAAGGAACTTAAGCACCAAAAATATGCTACAGAATTTTTTCCTTTGCACTTCTGTGACATACGTGTTCAAGCAGAGAGTGAATTAAGACTGTAGTAAAAGGACACATTGCTTGTTGGTTCCAAGATGCAGCTCATATAGAAACAAATGATCTGGGGGAAGCTGGAAAAGCAAGCTTTGAATTTGTGGTGCATTATTAGAGAATAAATTGTATTGCTTCACGTGGCATTGTTTTCTTCTTTCAGCAAAAGAAATGCCCTTTCATGTCTGTATACTGACTCCTATAATTTCCAACAGGAACAAACACAAGCCATAAGAGTTCAATATGTACTTTTTTTTTGCACAGCCAATCAATTTATATGTGCTGCTTCTAGTTAACGTTTCAAAATGCCTTTGTTCAGTGATACTTGTATGGCTTTTGGTGGTGTTGTTTTGTTTCTCAGTGCAATAGCTGTAATGTGTCCATGTGTAGAGTTGACATTACCATTATTGGTGGTACGTTTTTTCAGCATCTGCCAGCACGGATCATTTCAATGCACCTTCCACCCCTGCCCTTCCATGTGCACCGCCTATGGGGATCGGCACTACAGAACGTTTGATGGACTGACCTTTGACTTTGTTGGAACTTGTAAGGTTTACCTAGTTAAGGTGAGACTTCTTTGTAAAGCCTCTGTAGAACTGAATTTAAAAACTACCTGTTAAAAGCTACTCTTGTACTTATTTCCAATCTGTACATTTTGTTGAGTCCTACGTACTGTTTTTTAAGCTTTGAAGTTGCTTAGACTTTGAATTATACATAACATAATAATTAGACACTGAGTTTCTGGCTAATTTAACTATGCAACAATATACATATTTATATTAGTATATTTTAAAGTATCAATTTATTTTTCTTTTCCTTCAGGATACTTCAACCAAGTTCTCTGTCATTATAGAGAATATTAACTGTTTTAATACTGGAATCATTTGCAGAAAAAACATTTTCATTAATGTTGGAAAATCTTTTTTAATATTTGATGATGAAACTGGAAATCCAGTAAGTTTCCCTCTTTAGTACTGATCAAAGGGGATAGCACATGAAATTCTCTGGGTGTTTTTTGCTTTCATTAGCAAAAGCTTACTGTGGCACTTGAGTAGCAGAGGCATAAATATGTTTACTGTGAATGCTGATCACATCTGGATTGTTCAGTAGAAACCTTAAACAAAATCTTGTCCGTATTTCACAAAACCATTAGATGAGATAATTGTAATTCTTTTGTTTAGACTTAATTCCTGTGTAGTGTCTTAGTGAAAATCCAGGTATTTTGAAATCAGTAGAAGTTTTTCTATTAATTCCAAAAGAACTAAGAGTTTGTTCTGGTATGGGATGTATAGGAGGAATATTCCTGTGCACTTCTAAATTAAAAATAGCAGTCCCTGCTATATCCTCTGCAGTCTCAATTTAATTTTTATTTTGGCCAAACTGCAAACTCTGTTGCTGTAAATATTTAGTATTTTTAGGAACTGTAGTATAAATAGCAGTGCTTACAATCTGTAGACTGATTTTGCAAAGGAAATTGTGTCTCTTTATGAGGCATTGTATAATTAATGCAGACATCTTAGTTCATGCTACCAATAATTTAAGATCTGCTTGTTATTGGGTGGAGAGAAGAATGCTTTATGTAAATAAGATGGCAGTCTCTGGATAAATTTAGACAATTCCTTACATCAAGAAGTTGCTCCATGCATCTTTGTACCTACCCATATTGAAGAAAAAATGTGTGGCTAACTCCTGAGCGCAATGATGTATAACTAATTGCAAATCAGAACCAGGAGCCTTAAGACTAATTTTTTTACCTCCCAGATGAACCGTTAACTTTTTAATCTTCACTCCAGTTGCCATTACCTATCCTGTAAATTTGATAGAAAATCACCTTTTAAAACAAGAAAATAATTAAAAATTCTACACAATTCAAAATCAAAATCCACTCACTTTTGTTTAACCATTTATCCCTGTGTGACCTCTGTCAGGTTTTGGACTTCTGTCTGAGAACCGTGTTGTTCATTTTATTTAGGTGTTTCATGTCCAGTCATGTGAACATTGTGATGACATTTACTTTACATTATAAGCTGCCTTGTTTTATTTCAAACAGAGCTTCTCTAGTTACATAGACAAAGTACAAAAAATACAGTTATGGAAAGCTGGATTTTTCACTGTTGTTCATTTTCCTGATGAGCACATCACCATTCTCTGGGATCAGAGAACAACAGTTCATGTACAGATGGGTCATCAGTGGCAGGTAAGTGGAAGTCAGCATTCTTATTGCCATTTCTTTAATGTATTTATGTAAGTCTTAAGTAAGAAGTTATCGTTCTTCAGAGGACAATCAATGTGTCAGAAATCAGGAGCTGAGCTGTTCTGGCTGAAATTTGGCTGAAAAGGATCGAATCCTGACAAACATAATTAAGCAACTGAAGACAGGGATTTAAGAAGCAAGTTTTGAAAATTATTGTGGCTGGTAGTGTTTTGTATCATGTGGAAGTATGTTGGGTTTTTTTTGTTTGTTTGTTTTCCCAGGGTAAATTGACTGGACTATGTGGAAATTTTGATTTGAAGACAGTAAACGAATTGCGGACTCCAGATAATTTTGAGTTAACAAACTCACAAGAGTTTGGAAACAGCTGGACAGCTGTAGAGGTACGTAGTAAAAAGAATGTGCTTGCTAGCAGATTTTTTTGCTGTTACATCATATAATCTATCTAGAATGAAATCAGAAATTTGTTCCTGGAAGTATCAGTCAGGCAGCAATGCAAATGGCATTATGAATGGTTCTTCCAGATACTGTAATCCATTAAAGAGAAGAAAATAATAACCTTTTTTTCTACACAGTGCTATAGTATAAAGAATAATGCATTATGACATTCTAAATCAAAAAGTGTTTTTGAAGATGTTGTTGGAAAAGTGAAGTAGTAATTTTTATACCTAATGGAAGGATTGTGAATTCACTTTAGATTGTATTGTCAGTTTAGGTGGTCTTTCCTAGCTGGGAAATACTTATCTGTGAAACCATAGTAGTGGAAAGAAAAAATACTCTTTCTATATGCTATAAAGTTAAAAATTGAACTTTTAAAATGTGTGTCTAGTAGTGTTCATAGATGAGGCTCTGGGCAGCCTGATCTAGTGGGAGGTGTCCCTGCTCATGGCAGAGGGGTTGGAACTGGGGGATCCTTGTGGTCCCTTCCAGCCCTGACAGATTCAGATCTGTTTTAGCAGAAGACTTTAGAGCCCTAATGGCTCAATGGTTGGACCTGATGATCCTGAAGGTCCCTTCCAACCTAAAGGATTCTATGATTCTATATTCCTTCCTAGTAGGCAGAGTAAAAAGATCTGATTTTGTGACATTTCTAACATATGTAATCTGAGTGATCTTTGTTATTTTGTAAGCTATACTAGTCAGGTAAAAGCACTGCAGACTGGCACTGTGTGGCTGCTCTGTTTAAACCTCTGTGTACATATGTGTTTTTCTGCTGCTCTCAGAAAATTAAACATGTTTTTCAATTTCCTGTTCTGCAGTTTATCATCCCCTTTGAATTCCATGTCTTAGTCTGGCTTTAGTTTCATGAATTAAGCATTTATTTTGTGTTTTACATCCCTTTTTTAAAAATCAAACCAACCAACCAACCAAAACCACACACACAAAAACAAACAAACAAACCAACAAAAAAAAACAACACATGAAAATATGCTTTGTAAGTTCAAACCCAAAGTGGTTATGAAACAAGTTTCTCACTTTCATTTTGCTTTCTGGTTAAGTGTGTTGACAGCTCTGACATCCGAAATCCATGCAGTTTGAATCCCCTCAGAGAGCCATTTGCCAAGAAGGAATGTGGAATACTGTTAAGTGAAGCATTTGAAGCCTGCCATCCAGTGGTGAGTTGTGGTCTACTCTAGAAAGATACAAACATGAACATATCACTACAGAGAAACTCCACTCTGCAGCTCACATAACTTTAAATGCATTTGAAGCCTGCCATCCAGTGGTGAGTTGTGGTCTACTCTAGAAAGATACAAACATGAACATACTCTGCAGCTCACATCACTTTAAATATTCATCTTATTTTCCATAACATAATTATTTTGACTACGATAGCAGAAGAGAACATGAAGGAAGCCTACCCCATACCTATTCTGATTCTAAAATGTGAATGTTCACCTGGACCTGTTCTAAAGACTATCTGCACTTAGCTGACCTGGACAGTAAGCCATTCTGGCAGCAATTTAGCATTCTACAGTATGGGTAGTCCTATTATTTCCCATTGTAATTCATGCAGACAAAATTATATCCAATTTTTTTACCTTTTTTTTTTATCCCAAACACTGTTTGTATAAGTATAGCCACTTGATAACCACTTGCTTTATTTTGCTCAAATGTATTACACAGCATGTATATTTAAAAAAATAACAGTTTCTTCTAGGCAGTATCAGATGTGAAGAACTCATTCCTAGAAAGAAAAAAATAAGCATATATGTCCTCACCCAGGCAACCACCTAAGGAAATAAATGAGCTATACAACATGATGTGACAGTCAACAGGCTCAGGTTTCAGTTGGAGGATGAGGGGGGACTGATTTCCAGAGCTAGGTTTTATATAGTAAATAATGTATGCCGAGATGTTCAGGTATTGAGACTGTGTGCATGGCTTAAGGAGTGTGTCAGTGGTTCCCAGAGGGAAAGCAGATATCATATGAAAGACAACTACAAATCTCACAAGGTTGCTTTGTATATTCTTTTGGAAGAAGAGGGAAGCTAATGTTCATTGTAATAATGCAATATTGTTTAGTCCACTGTAAAACATGGGCAGAAACTAAGTTCCTCCTAAGTGTGTATTACTTAAGTGTAAATCCATGTAGAACTTGTAGCAATTCCATAAGTAAATTGTCATTGACAGTTTTCTTTCAAATTTTGTCACTTAAGACTTCAAATTAATTTAAAGGGAAAATCACAAATTCACCTGTGAAATTGTATAATAATATGAAGAGCATGAACCATTCTCACATCAAGGGTTCATCTACTTTATTATTTATTCCATGCTATGTATATCTAAATTTCTTGGCACTTCTGGGATTTACTGATTTGTGATCAGTTTAGAGAGAGTTTCTCTTATTTCATAAGCTTCTTTCTAATTTATCATAGTTTAAATATTACAAAATCATACAGAACACAAGCTCACATCAACATCTTAGTGTGTATGTTCGTAATGGCTTATTAATTTGTGTTACTGAGTACTGCACAAGGGTTTATGATATGTTCTAATAAACCAAGTCTTTTTTGTTTAAAGAAAATTTAAACCAAAATCTTGAACACTTTGAAGTCTTATATATTAAATTTTGAAAGAGTCATGGCTTTGTGTTGGGGTGGTTCTTGCCAGGTCTCTTTGAGTATTTTTGATAAGTGATGTTTGTATTTCCAGATTGATGTCACCTGGTTTTACTCAAACTGCTTGACAGATACGTGTGGTTGTAGCCAAGGAGGTGACTGTGAGTGTTTCTGCACAAGTGTGTCAGCATATGCCCATCAGTGCTGCCAGCATGGAGTTGCTGTAGACTGGAGGTCCCCTCGGGTGTGTCGTAAGTTGACTTGCCTGGCAGTGCCAGCGGCTGCCCCAGCTGCCTTCCTGAGACCAGACCTGCAAAATCAATCCCTTTTTTAAGTTGCCTGGGGCTGTGAATTGATCACTAACCCTCACTGGTAGGAAGATGAGCATGTGCCTCTTGCTGCCCTCTATGTTCATTTAGCCTGGCTGGATTACATGCTGCTTTCTAAATTTGTGAGTAGTACTCTTTTATTTTTAATTCCTCGTGATATGATGCAAAAGGAAAAGTTATGAGAAGTCTGTGTTAGAATACAGCATGCATCCCTCAAACCTGAGTTATAAAGTTAACAGCTCAGGTAATCTCCATTTTGAGAAGGACTTCACTTCTTAACAGGGTCTAGGGGACAGAGGACTGCCACCCTCAGAGCAAGTGTGAAATATAAAGGTTTTCTGAAGAAAAACAAGTAGGTTTTTAAGCAGGACTTTGTCATTACTTTAGTTCAACAATGCTTAGAAGTTACAAAATCTGAAGCCTTTCTTTATGGCACCTAGGCAATTGTGCAGAAGCAGACAGTCGTTTCCCAAAAGATGTGATGAAAAAGAGCATGATAGAATGAAAGGAAACAAGCTTTCTTCTAACTTTGCAGTTGCACAGAGAGAGTGTGTGGCTTGCTCAAAGTTGCACAGTACATTTGCCATAGATTTGGAAGGATTACTCTTAATTTTTTATATAAGTGGTATGTGTTTTAATGTGAGCTTGGCGAGACAGCAAAGCTTAGTCTTAACCACTAGAGGTCACAAAAAGACAGCCGTGGGTATGTAAGCTTAGTATTCCTGCTAGAAAAAAGTATTTTCTTTAAATCAGTGTAATTTAAATCAGTATTTTATTTAAAGCAAAAAAGTAAACATTTGGCAATATTTTTTTAATAAATGTTTGTGTGACCTAACTTGGCCAAGCATTTGGCTTACTCCTTAATCATAAAGTGTAACAGAAAACCTGTTTATCTGCAGAATGCCTGCAACTGCATTTCTTTTCTTTTTATTTTTTAGCTTATGATTGTGAATATTTCAACAAAGGTAAGTCCTCAAGCAGCTGATAAAATGTCCATAGAAACTTTTGTTTCTTTTATGTAAGTCTTAGTAGTTCATATAAAAATAATTGTGTGAATGAGAACAGTTGGGAATGAGATATTATTTAAAAAGCCAAGATTCTGTTTTACTTGTTTATTTTGGGTTTTGAAAAGCTTTTAATTTCCTAATCTTCTTTATTCCTGAGCCTTTCCCAAGAATGTTTAACTTATTTTCTTTGATTTATGGATCATGATTAAACCATTAAATCATTAATTAATTAATAGGCTATTCAACTCAACAGTACTAGTGGTGCTACTTGCTTGAGGCATTCTGCAGGTCAAAAAACTGGTGTCCTGTGGGTCTCTTAGAGCAACCGTGCTCTCCTGGGCAGCCTCCAGAGGGAGACAGCTCTTAAGGTATTACAACTTCTTAGGCTCTAACAGGAATTAACCTTCCCTTTAGGAATGTCTGACCTAGCTTTAAGCTCCTGAGTGACAGGTGTTGCTGCTGCATTAGAATGTCTCTCAGAGAAGTGCAAAACTTGCACAAAATGCTAGAGTCAGCCTTGAACCTGCCCTGGGTGCTGTGCTGCTGTGTTAATACCAGAACCCGTGTTCAGGCTGTCTTGTAGTTACATTCTGGGCATCTGCATAGTCAGACATGACACATGTAGAAGCCCTGCAAGCCAGCCAGATGTGAGGACTGGTCAGCACTCCTGCTATTTATTCTACAGCTCTCTTTATCCAGCTCATGTAGAAGCCTGTCTATATAGATAGTTCTTGGTATTTTGGTCTTTTGTTAGACTTCATATTGCAGCAGCTCACCCCCAGAAAGATCTTGGAGAGGCACTAAGTTTAATTTAGGAGAGATGTGTTCAATGTGCCAGACCCAAACAATATGGCCAAGAAATTTACATTTTCTCATATACCAACTGCTGAAAAGATTTTGAATGGAGTCAAATTGCTAATGCAGTGGAATTTTATCTAAATCACTATTCAAGTCTTTAAATTCATTTAAATTAAGAATAGTTGAGTAAAAGAGGTGATTGCAGTCTTATATTTCCTTTTTGGTTTGGTTTGTTTTACAAATGAAATAGTCTGATACTGTTAAGATATGATAATCTTACTGCAGTTGTAACATTGAAAGTGCAGTGCTGCACCTAATATCTGTGGTAGTAGCAAAGTGAAGTTAGATGATAACATGTACTTTTGAAGTGTGTTACTAGTTTTACTTGTTAGCGAATTCTCACTGACAGAAATTGGTTGAAAGAGTGGTGAGCTGTGCACGTGACTAGCTTGTAACAAACATGGTTATCACATACTTCTCACTTCCCATCTTGCTACTGTTGGCCAATCCAGCTCATCACTATTCAACACAGGTTGTTTCAGAGCTGCCAGTGGGGAAAAAAATCATCTCTATGCTGAAGATTTTCTTCTTTATCTCAATTATAGCAGCATTCCCCAGAATTACTTAGTTTTGGAGACAGGAAGGTTCAGAAACTGTCTTAGATGAGAGAGAGGTTTTCTGTGCATAACTGTCAAAAATCCACAGTGAAATAGTTTCATTCCTATTAGAAGCAGGAGCAGAAGTCTTTTGTCTTTGCTAAGGGGAAATTCTCAGCTCGTAGCTATGGTTTCTCAAGTTTTGAATGGGCCTGAGGTATGAGACTTAATGATACAGTAATATTTCCAAAACACTGGATATTTTGAGTAATTTAAAATACGTTTTTCAACTCCCTGCACAGAAGGTAACCAGGTATCACTGTACATGTTTTGCTAGGCTTGGGCTTGTGTCCTAACTGGCAACCTATTTATGCCATTAGAATCTAAAACTCTGGTTGTAGTGCAGCCTCCTTAGGATTTCAGAACTCTTCATAAATCATAAGGAAGAACCAGAAAATGAGGGCAGGAAGCAAACTGCAGTCCAAACTTTTAACCTGTTGGAAGAGGTTTTAAGGGTCAACGGTATTAACTGCAACTATCAGCTGAGAAGTTCTGGGATGTTTCTACCTCAGATGTATGCTTGCCATGTTCTGGCTTGTGGGTAAAATGGTAGTGAGGCGAGTTGCTCAGGTGTGCTCTAAAATGCCTGGCTTTAATGGAGAGGTTTACAAAAAGCATTTCAAATAACATTTAAAAATAAAGATTTAAAATACTTTTCTGCAGTGAAACTAGAACTGAGTAAGGAGGTGGGAAACTGTAAGATTTGTGAAAAGCTAACTTTGCATGCTTTTTTTTGTTTTGGTTTTGTTTTTGGTTTTTTTTTTTTTTTTTTTTTTTTGGTTTTTTTTTTTTTGTTTTTTTTTGTGTAGGTAAAATATGAACATTGCTTTCATTATTTTGCTGGTTTCTTTCTGTCTCACTTCCTGGTGGTTACGTTTGTATCTACACCGTTCAAGGAGTACTTTGATACTTGATGGCAACAAACTTTTATTCCCTGCAAAATGGCTCACACTTTGGACATCAAGAAAATAGATTGTAAAGAGCAGCAAAAAGCGTTTAATCAGTTCCACCATACAAACAAACAGTTTAGAGGGATCCCAGGGTGGTCTGTAGAACTCTTCACTTCTAAATCAAATAACCGAGGCTAACTTTAATAAAATGAATATGAAACAGAAATGAATAAGAGGGAGCAAAAGGAAAAGCTTCTCATTATTCCTGAAAATTGAAACTAGGTAATTTGGACAGTTTTCAGGACAGATATTTTCTAGAAGTTTGGTTGTGTTTTGTCATTATAGGTTAGTGCTTATTTTTAGTTACGTGCTGTGTTATAATATTTAGAGGTCAAGCATTTGTGACACTTGACGTGAAAGATAATCCTGATTTTTCTTCCTCTCAACAGCTCTGGGCAAGGGCCCATACAAGCTGATCAGCTATTTGGATGGAGAATTTGTAATGGCAGTGAAACTAGTGGATGGTGTTGTTTTCCCAGTGAAAGAAGAAGATATTGTTCCTGGACATGCAGTGAGCTTTATGCTGACTTCAGGACTTTATAAACCCAAAGCACACGGTAAAGTTACTCTAAACCAGAGGCAGAGCAAATTCTGCCCTTGAATACAGGCCTATGTTTAAAACTAGACCTAGTAAAAAGTCTTTTACTTAATTGCCAGAAGACTGTGAATCTTAGTGTTGTCTGCCTAAACTAAAAATTTTCATTTGGTTGGATTAGATGATTGTAGTTTTATAAGCAGATAATTTTAGTTGAAAACCAATAGCTCTTCCTTCTGCCCCAATCTTTAGAAGCACCAAACTGATGTTGTAGCCCAGTGCTCCAGATACATGTTGCTCCCTCTACTCTTTTTCTGGCAGAACTGAGACATGGGAATTAATGGGAGAATAATGATGTAAGAAAATTACTCCCTAATTCACTCACTTTGGCACCTTCACTCATTGTCCACCCAAGTGTACTTGAGATGCTGATTGGCATTTACCTGAGCTGTGTAAGGGTGTTGTACTGCAAATTTGTCTCCTCAAGTTTCCACAAAGGAAAGTGTTGCTTCTTCAGCAGCTGAGAGGTCTTGCACACCTGCAGGCAGGTGGAGAAAGCTTGCAAGAATATATTCAGCACTTTGTGACGTTGATAAAATGCTGGAGTTGTCTGCACACACAATTTTAATGCCCACAAAACACTTGAGTCTTAATACAGCTTTACTGCCCAGAGTCCTCTGATCAGCTCTTTGGACAGCCTGAAGGTGGCTGTCTTTGTGTAATCAAAGCAGCAGCATGGGTCAGTTAAAAAATGACAAGCATTTGATTAGTAATACTGCTGTCTGTAGAACTGACACAGAACTCATGTTACAGAATATCCAGGGCCAGTTTTCTTCTGTTAGTTGTAGTTCTGAGACTTGTACATGGTGTTCAATCTAGGTTTGGAAAGAGAAGGTCAGTTCTACTCTTCTATTCTTATATAACAATCTCTTGCTCAGAACAGAAGCTAGCAAATGGAATTTGTGCCTTATAGTCCAATTTGAGCAAATTGCATTTAATCATTTGGCCCTGGAGAATTTTGTACAATCAATACAATATTTTTCTTATGTGTGTCGTTAGTTATTTATCACATTCCTGGTTCTTTGGTATCTCAGAAAAATGGTATCTCAGTTTTATCAGTTTCAGACAAATGATAGACATTGGAAAGTTTGGATGTTGATGCACTGATTGGCTGTATGGCAAGTATTATAGATCACACTGCTGTCCATTGTTACTTACCAAATAACTACTTGCTACAGACAATAAAAAGATATTCAGAAGTGTCACTGTGTTTTTCTGATTAATTCAAAAGTTTATACTCAGAAAACAAGTTGGACTTCCAAAAGTGTAGTACCAGAGTGTCATAGTTTATTAGAGATCATTTGTTTTCTATGCAGTCTTTTTTTTCAATAAATGCTACCCAGGCCTGGAGGGTTAGTTGATTTTACAGTAGTTTAATGGCTGTTTTCAAGAGAATAGTGGTTTACAGCAAATAGAATGAAGTCATTCTGTGAGCAACAGATGCCTGTAACAGGCTCAAGATCTGCCACTACGCAACTGGTTGTACAGAGGCTTGCTTGAAATCAGCAGTACTGATTTTTAGGGTAAGGTATCATGTGGGTATGTTTGCCAGCAAACAGACTTTGCTGTTAACATTCTTAGGGGAATGACTAGAGAGCTGACTGCTTAGACAGCTGAATGCAAAATACATTTTTGTAATTTATTTTTAATAAAAGGATGAGCTCTTAATGTGGAAGCTGCTGATGGCAAATATTACTTGTAAAGCTAGATAGATGAAGTTTCAATTTTTATTAAGCAAATGACTTATTGAAGGCTGTAAACTGAAGTTCTCTCTAACTGCAGGGCTATTTTCCTTTATCTTGTTGTGGGCAAGTATGTTAATTTGCTTGTATTCCTGTTGAAATCTGTGAGTATTTAGAAAACTAAATATCCATCAGAATCTAGTGCTCTGAAATCCATACATAGTATATTTTCTTACAAGATTCAGGCTGTTTTCACCGGTGAGGCCAAAGCTTTCATTGCCCATGATGCTAATACCAGAATACCAGTAGTGGTACATCAGAATGACTGTGGGTTTTTTTTTTTTTTTCAGACTCCAACTTGATTTCATTTGAAATAGCTGAGAGACCAAACTATTTTCTTCAGCTGGTCTCAAATAATACTCTTGTTCTTTCTAAATGGAGAAAAAGTGAAGAGTTTCACAACAGGTCTACATTTGTCATTCACAAGAATACATGGCTTTCAGGATACAGTTCCTTTGAGTCATTTGCAAAACCAGGGTACTTCATACACATTTCTGCCTCTTCAGTTGAGCTTTTGAAGTACCACCATTCAGAGGAGTTCAGACTGTCAACTCTTTTTAAACTTGAAGGTAGGTATTTAAAGTTGTATTTTATGAACAGCAGTTTGCTCCGTGTGAGAATACAGAGTAAATGGTATTGAGATTCTCAGAGGTGATGAGTTTGCTTACTTCTCCTTGACATCACAGGGAGCTGTGGGTAATCTGTGACATGCAGGCTCAAAATGTTATTCCCTGAGCTTTGTAGTGAGAATGAAATTCTGTTTTCTTGCCAAAAGTCATTAAATAGCCTAACACAGAACTGTTGTATTTGCCTCCTGGTTTGGGTAATACATCATCTAGTGTATAGTTTCTAGGCAATATTTGCTTTCTAAGTAGTCAAGAAGTTCCTAAGGAGTAGAAAAATCATGCTAATACATAGTAGATTCACAAAGGGAATAGAAAAGAACTTAATGCTTCTCTAAAAGCTGAGGTTTTTGGATAACATTTTCTCCTTTCTTCTGCTGGAGTTCTTCGAGAGAGTTTTCTGGTCACTGGGTTCTCACCACAGGCTTTGTGGCCTCCTCAGAGGTCATGCCATCCAGTGCTAAGGACATTGCCTGTAAATAACAACACATCATGTTTCCCCTGAAGAACACCTTGACTGTTACCCATGTCCCACCCAGAGGCTCTGTCTTTCGGGGTGTTATCCCCTAGTGACTCAGGTGCCACTGAAGTGGAGAGCTGTGCCTCTTGGGGATCTCGATGCCCGTTTCTCTAACACGTCTTGGACAGTCACTGCTCTTGAATACACAGTGTAGACTGCTGTGGGAGAGTTCCTACCTACTTGAGAGCTTCCCATTCCTGTAATAGTAATCCCATTCCACTGAGACATAAGGATCAGAAATGTAAGAGATATTCTTGGGGTATTCATAGGAGCAGGATGCAGAATTTGCTCCTACAAAAACTGACGACAAAAAAAAATACACATTAAAAAATCACTGAACAATCAAGCTCTTTCTTTTTTTTGCATTAGTAAGGAAAATAAATAACTGTTTTCACATACTCTTAAACACTTCAAAACCATGCACTGAAATGAAGATAGCCTTTACCTGTCAAGAATAAGCAGCAAGATTTTTTACTGGCCTATAAATCAAAGCAAATTATTCATAAAACCACCATTTACTTTAGCATCTGCTTGTCTTGATACTTCAGATACATCAAACACATTCATATGACTTCATTTATGAACTTCAGTGACAGCTACTACTTGCTGAAACCACTGGCCTTTGTGTAGCATATAAAATTCCAAAATCAGTACAGGTGTTCATTCTTATGTCGTCAAGGTTCTTGTGCTGTAATTTTGAATGCATTAATAATTTATTTATTTGAATAGCAGAAGTATTTTAATAGTATCCCTGGCAATACCTTTTTTTTTTTTGAAAGCAGTTGCTCATTCTTTGAAACTGAAATTTGTTTTATAAGCAAAGAAAGAAAATGAAATATTGTAACAAATGAAGCGTAGCCTGGCCATGTTTAACAGTGACCATATTGGATCTCAGCACAGAGAAATCCAAAGCAGGCACTGACTTCTGTGACAGAAGAGGCCAACTGTATGCCCCATGGAGCTTCTTGTTATCAAAACATCGAATTAAAGTGTTAATGGTGGCATTGTGAATCTGCCCATGTTTTGGGATGCATTATGCTGACAGCCTAATGCAGCTGTTGACTGGCACACTCCAACTTCAGAAAAAATGACAGATTTTGTCATTGCCAAATGCCTGTTGCCTCTTGACAAATGCTTGCAATCACAGAGCTGTTGAGGTTTTTGAAGGGCAGAATTATAGAGCTAATGCCATTACCAGGACGTTCGTACAGCATTTCAAGCAAGGAACTTTTTTGGACATAACAAAAATAACTCCTTAGTCTTTTGAGGGAGGGAATGAAGAAGGTTAAAACATGTTCCAATTCTCAGTGGTCATCCATTAACACAGAGTGGTATGTCTTTTCAAGTGTGAAGTCTTTACCCTCCAGTCATTATACCAAAAAATCCTATCTATGCCAATGGAAAACTAAAACAATTTACCTCAGCAAGTGGGATCAGATCAAATGATCAAGAGGCATTTCATTAATCACCACATCCGAGGGCTTGGGTTTCAGTGTTTTATAAGCAGAGAAACATAGGGCTCGAATCTTTCTCCAGTGTACTTTCACAAGGGCCAGCCTGCTGATGCAGGGTAATTACATGGTCTAAAAATACAGCAGCATTTGTTTAAGTTAATGGAAAAGTTACACCAGCTCGAGAGTGCACAGGCAAAAGCATATTGAGTTGCCTGCTGACTATTGTAAATGCTTTGCATATTAGATCAGAAACTCTTCAACTGGGAACAGCTATTCCTGAGGAATCAGAGGATAAATATCGGGAGCAGAATAATAGGCCCAGTAAATCCCCTTGGCCAGAAAGCTCCTCATGAGACTTCTTCGTGCTGTGACGCACATGCAAAAGGAGGAATTTTAAATGACCTGATCACCACAGCATATCTGTTTGAAGTCAGCTGACGAGTCACTTTTTCCAGTTTCATTGCAATAAATACTGTCACACTGAAATACTTTGTCTATAAATTGCACAGATGTGATGGGCTAACACTGCAAGTTATTTTCCATGAGGTTACTTCAGCTTTTAAACTGAGTTATTGTCATTGTATGCTGTCCTGTTTGCACAATGTTTGAGGGTTTGAGTTGATAACTGGATTTGAATATCTAGAGTGTACTCACAGGAAATGCATTTTCAATTCTGTGCAGGGATTCTTACAGGCAGCAGATGGGTGTGTGTTCAGTCAAAGGCAAGAATGCACTTAGGCTCACCAAGGTGCACGAGCACAGAGGTGTCATGTAAGAGTGATCTATTCACATCTGAAATTGTTGGGAGATGAGCAAATGTAGGGAACTGATGATCTCTTTGTGGTTATGGCAGCAGTATTCTTACAATTTTTAATAAATGCTGTGCTTAAGCTAGTTACATTTTACCTTTCACAGAATAACCATAATATGCTTTACCCTTTTAGGAGCACTGTGAGTTGGTTTTATATATATATTTTAAAAACATGATTTGCCCTGTATAAATTCTGCAACAAAGTTCTTAATGATATTTATGTGCTTTAATAGCTAACTCACTATAAATATAAGGCCTGCCTCAAGAGAGAATTTTCAGCTGAAATTAAAACCTCAGGATGCATTAAGTATATGCACACTGCACAGAGGTATTTATCAGTGTTTAAGTTTGATACAGGGCATTTTTGGTTCCTTTTAATGTTTGTATCTTAATTAATTGTAAAACATTCAGAAACATAGTGCAAAACTGAAAATTAATTTTAATGGAAAACTTCATTTACAAAAACATCTTGCACCTTAAGTCAGTCTTGGATGTATGTTCCAGTTGACTATTTTAAGTTCAATATACTCTTAACCATTTCTATCAGTAGAATTAATTTTGTAGGATGTCCTGTTTTACTTACAATAAGTTATTATTAAGTGTACTTTGAGCTCGTATGCTTTGTCAATCCAAAAGGTCCCGGTGTGGGACCTGGGACTGGGTAATGCTGAGCAACTGCTGTTGTACCTGTAAATCCTGGGTATGTCACTGAACACATCTGCTTGGCAGCTCTTGGAATCAGGCTGAGGTTACTGTAGAATTATAACATCTTTCCTATTTATACCACAAACACAAACATCTGACCTCTCATATTTTGAATGAATATATAGGAGGAGATCAAATAATACATTAACAAGACTATATTCCTCTAATATTGTAATAGTAAACTGAAACAAAACTATTTGAGAAGTAGATAATTATACTTTGCTTTCACTAATGTTTTGGCTGGGCACGAAGTTGATTTTTTTTCCAGTGATATTTGCTTACATTTCTTGTGGCAGAAACTTAGAAGTCATGGGCAAAGTTTGTTGGTAGTTTAAGTGGGTAGATAGGATTTCATGTTTCTAAACTTGTAACTGAGGAGATAGGCAATCTATGTTACTAAGCAGAGTTTTGTTGCTGTTATAAATAGGATTGATCCTAAAGCAAATTTTGTTCCTACTATATTTTTTGAAATCTTTGGGAAAAGTAGTGAAACAGAAAAATGTCAGGTGAAAATCCAAGATTTTAATTATTTTACTTTATTTTTAAAGTCTTTATTTTCAATACAACCTTTTATTAACATTAGAACCTTTCAGGTTTTAATTTTTTTTTATAGCCATTTTTAGAGCTTACCATGAAATTATTCATAATATACAGACTCTGACAATGGCAAACTTTGTCCCTATGAGGTAATAGCCAACATAGGGGAGGAAAAAAAAAAAAGGCAAGGTGGAATTGTGAACACACAAAAAAGTGGCCAGGTAACCAAGAAGGATTATTGTGACTTGACAGAACACCACAGTCTGTCACTGATAAAAAATTAAAATTCTTCATTACGTGGTAGCAATTGTTCTCATTACCACAGAAGTATTTTTGAAAGCCACGAAGAATGAAAATCAGAAGCTACAGGGAGGGGAGAACATGCTTCTCTGCTTTCCAAGCAAGTGAGAAGTCAATGGAGTTAGGGAATATCTTTTAATATAAATGGTCTTTGGCAGAGTTTATACTTGCATACATACAAAAGCTTTCTGCAGCAATGCAACAGGTCAATAAGCTCAGCTCCTGTTAGATAAAGGAGCTATGGGTTCAGCTGGCATGTCAACTGGAGTGACTGTCACCCAGGGCATATTTTACCATTTTGTGAAGGATTTGCTGTGTCACCGAACAGAAGACAAATGCTGGTAGACTTCACCAGGAGACATGGCTATTTTCAAATGCCATGACAAATCCTTTTGAGGAACACATGCCTGATATAAGAAGCTTGACTCATTGTCTGTAAACTGTGTGCCATTCTTTTGTTGTGAGTGAACTGTAATGTTGCACAGAGTACAGTAAGCTCGTATTACTGCTTGCTGGAGGGGGAATTTAAGTATTAAAAAAATGGGAGGCATGTGGTGGGGATGGCTGATTAGCATGAAGCATTTGTGCCATGACACTCGTGAAATCCAGAGTTTTGAGCTGTGCTAGTTTCTGTCATAGCAGTATTGTAGTGAAAACAAAGCCGAGGTTGGTCTGGCCTGGAAGTTTGTCTAAAATAGTAGAGAGTGTGGAAGGGATATTTTTCTCAGTTTAAGGAGGGGGAATGCTTGAATAGCTTTAAAGTGCTTTTCCTTTTACCCTAATGATTGTGCATTTTTGGGTCACAGTTAATATATAAATGTACTTAAAAGGAGGCAAAATAATCTACTGTTTTAGCTGGGTGTAGGAATACTTTGTTTTCTTGTCTTAGTCTTGAATTCATGCTAGTTCAGAACATGGCTCTGTGCCTTTGTTTCTCCTCCCCTTCATTTTGTCTAATCCCTATTTAGTCTAAACTTTTTAAGCAGAAACTACATCTTACTGGATTGTATTGGTGGTGGTTTGTTTTTTTTTTTTTTTTTTTTTGGTTTGGTTTGTTTTTTTTTTTTTTTACAGTGGCTTGCACAGTCAATATTCTAGGTCCTTGGGCTGTTCAGGCATTCTAGAAGTGATGTTGCCAATAGTGAAAACTGTCTATGTGACAAGTAACTCAACTGACATTCTCCTAATGCTGGAAAGCCATTTTCTTATAATTCATAATAAAGCACAGATTTCACTATACCCAATGGGTTTACTGAGACATAATTGAAAACTTTTGAGATACTGGAAACAATTCATGCAATATATTAAACTCTTGCTGTAATGGTTAGGTCTGTTCTGTTATGTACTTTACACATTTAAAAAACCTCATATAGTTTGCCCAAACATACCCAATTCTCTGAGATCGCTTGACTGGAAAATTACATGTCCTTTTGTTCTACAGCTCTTCTTTGAAAACAGTTTTTATACCTAGGTTCATGAATTCCATCTGTTGTCCACACTTCTTTTTGCAGGAACAGAGACAAAATTTGCAGACAGGCATGACTTGGTTCTTGGCTGAAAGCTGTGTTTAGGAACTACTCAACAATTGCTATGCCTTGATGCAGAAATATGCTCTATTTCCTACCACGGCATGCAACAGCAGGAAACTCTGGAGAAAAGCTTGAGGGAAATGCAGCAATCATTTCATGAAAGTCTAAATTTAGTTGGAGAATGGGAGTTGTTATGTTAATCCCAACACTGGGAAATATTCATTCACAATCACTATTCTGCTACGTTGAGAAACTATCATTCTTTGTTTGGTTACACTATGTCTTCTGCAAAGCTTGTACCTTTATTGTGTTTGGAAAGTCTGCTGTGATTAATGATGAGGTTTGTGGCAAGAGTTAAATGTTACAAATCTGCCTCCATACTTAATCTAGGCTAGTCTGATGAATGAGGTTTCCCAGGTTCCACTTGGATATTGTTATTGCTGGTTACTACTACTGCTGGTGATTGCATGTGCAAGTAGGTCTCTGTGTTCTGTCTTTCTGTCATAGATCTTCTTTTGTCCTTAACCTTACCACTCTGACCTGCCAATATGTGCAAAACCCCATACATCAGTCAGCAAAACATGTGGGAGTAATTTCCTTCCTCTGTTAGCTTGGAGCAGTTTGGGTTGGTTTCACTAGAAGCAGTCACAGAATAAATCAGTGACATGTACTTAGCTTTATATGGGAAGGTAACTTTATAAATACATTTGTTACTGTCATAAGAATCATGTCTTCACAAGCAGCATCAAATTATGTCCTTGGGTAGGGTGACATGTAAACAAGGGCAACACTAGATGGC